TGTGGTTCAACAGCACCCAAAGTCATACTTGTCATGATACATTTCAGCACTTTAAACCTTTTAACTCGTCATTGTGGATGTAAAAGTAATAGGAAATCAATGGAAGTGGCAGATATAATACATGCATATGAAAAACAGGGACTAAATGATATAGATTTCCAATGCATCCAGATGATGTCCACTTTAATTTGAATTGCAAATATTAGTTGCTGCACATAAGCCCTTTTAACAGTATGTCCATATTGATTGGCTAAAACAAGCAATGAGATTGTTAATTTGATTCTCTCTCTCTCTCTCTCTCTCTCTCTCTCTCTCTCTCTCTCTCTCTCTCTCTCTCTCTCTCTCTCTCTCTCTCTCTCTCTCTCTCTCTCTCTCTCTCTGTGTGTGTGTGTATGTGTGTGTCTTCTCCTTTTAAAGTTTTAATTCCAAAATTTACTGAACATCTCGAAGCCCGAGAAGTCGGTCCTCATTTTAAAATGAAATGGAAAAAGTACAATCTAATACTGCACCAGCATTAGCAATAGGCTCCTAAAATTTCTCTCTTGACTGTGTACTGGTGTTGAATTTAGTGATGCAGTGTCTTTTATTAGTCTTTTCTTAGATATTGAAAATAATCAGTAGGCCTCTTGATGTATGACACAGATGAAAAATGGATACAGTGAAGGTAAAAGGAAACAATGAGTAAAAATAAGAAAATACAGTATATATACCTTAATATAAATGTATGTGTCATGGAGAGCAGGAGATACACTGCAATAAGAAAAGTGGAGTGTCTTTTCTACTACACACATCTTACTATCAGTTTATGAGTGTGTTTAAAATATCAACAGATAGAATAATAGAAGAAAACATATTAAAAAGCTTTACATTTTTCAAGTTTTCAAACAGCTGCTCCATTCTTTTTTTCAAAATATCAGTTTTATACCAATATATTATGAGGTTACAAAAAAAAAAGATTGTAGCCTTACGAAAAAGCAAAATGTTACTTGATGTTATTTGTGTTATATTACTATAAATATTTACAATCCTTAGACTGGAGGATATGGGCAGTGCGACTTCTACCTGTGACATCTACATTCGTTTACTCTTTCTCCTTTTCATCTCAGAAAGTCCATCCTGAGCACTTTTGCAGCTCACCACTGGCCTGCTCTGCTCATTTAGGTTGGCTAAATTCCTGCACCTGTAATCACCATGTATGGATCTGTATCGCCCTCTATTGGCCATCATCATTAAACACAGCACAGGCTGGAGGGAGTGAGGCCTACTCAGGGCTCTGTCTGATGGAGGAAACTCTTTATCCTGACTCACTAGTACATTTTATTATACCCATCTGCATGTTTGTGGTAATTTTCTTCAAAATTATGTTAGGGGGAAAAGCCCTGGGCTTCACCACAATTACTGCTACAGAAATGAATGTGACAGAATCCTGACATTTACAGTCCAAACTGAAGAACAGGGTAAAAGGGGGCTAACAAAGTATGCAGAGAAACAGATGGACTACAGTCTGTAATTGTAGAACTACAAAGTACACCTATATAGTAAGTGGAGCTGATAAAATGGACAATGAGCGTAGAAACGAGGTGGTCATAATGTTATGCCTGATCGTGTATATTATGATACATATATAATACAGTGTTGATATGTATGTTTGTTAAAACCTACTCCCAACAACTTATACCATAAATGGGGGCATTAAAGAGAAATCCAGAATCATCTATAAATGGTTATAAACAGTTTGCTTAGGTGCCTAAAACTTTTGCACATATATATATATATATATATAGAGAGAGAGAGAGAGAGAGAGAGAGAGAGAGAGAGAGAGAGAGAGAGATATGTATGTATCGCCTGTGGCCCTTCACATTGTGTGTAAATTTCATGATAAATGGACGAAAATAGTCCAAAATTACTTGGGATAACATCTGATTACATTGTCCTGCATTAAAAGTAAAGTATGCTTTTTCCTTCTCCTGTAAAGTTACCATTTTGGAAATATGTTTTGTTCCGACAGCAGCGATGGCCTGGTTGACCTTAATTCTATTGTTACATTCTCTGAAAGAGGCTGAGTGGCTATGTGGCGTACACCATGTGAGCAGTACAGGCCTGAATGGTTTACTCCTACAGTGAGGGGGATTGGTGGCCCTGTTAACCTGTGGGGTATTTTGCTGGCATAATTTTTGATCCACCTGCACCCATAGAGGGAATAGACACTGCAAATCAGTACAAAGTTATTCTGACTAATTGCCATGTTTCTATAGTAAAACGTTTCTATTTTGATGGGAGTGGTCACTTTCAGGAGGCCAAATGTCCCCATCTACAGGGCACAAGAGGTCACTTAATAGTTTGATGAGTGTGAAAATAATATAAATGAAATGCTATAGACTTCGCAGCTACTAGGTCTCAACCTAATCAATCACTTATGGGAGATTTTAGACTGACATGACATCCTCTCCATCACCATCATCAATTTGGAAGAATTGTGTTTCATCCCACCAGTACAGTTCCCCAGAAGGAACACTGAAGCTGTTCTGGTGACTAAGACACTTTGTTTTTCTTTTTTCATCAGAGATAGCACAATACTGTGAACAGACACACAGGATCACTAACATACAAACAGTTCCTGGAATAAGTAATCAGTATCCTGTTACAAAGATAACAAAGTGGGTCGAAAAGTCTGATCTTATGTGTGAAGCATTACTACATTCTACACCCCAAAAGCAATCATGCAGCTAGATTACGCCATTTCTTCTTTAAGCCTATTGGGAGAAGACTGGTATAAACAGTGCGGTGCCAAAGATTAATCTTAAACATGCACATATGGTTAAGAAGATACTGTATGTTTTAGAGAACTGGATTAAGCTTGCGTAGGCCGTATGTAACCTCCTAATCTAAATGTACAGGATTTAAAAAGATGAAATAGATTAAACAGATTAAATATACTTCCAGGAAGTGTTTTTTTAGGACACATCAGTAAAAACAGAAGCTGTCACTTTACTTACTTAATCTGCCAAAACATTCCAAGATGTTTTGAAAGCAGTTCAAAAATTAATATAAAGAAAGCAAACCCATTTAATGGCCCTGATTAAGTAAGTCAACAACATCCTGGCCTCTTGATTTATATAAGGATGCTGCTAAGAAGTAATTTTGTTAAAATATTCAATATAAAATTGCTGTTGTTATTTTTATTCAGTGTCTTTTAACTATCCAGAAATGAATGACAAATTGTTTAAGTTCACCTTAGAAGGGAAACAAAATTGGTAGAACACAGCAAAAAAGATATCTTTCCAAATAAAATCACCTTGCTAGTCAATGTACTCTCTATGGCCAAATCTGGTGTTTCAGCCACACTGTTGCTAACAGGTATATAACAATCAGGCACACAGCCATACACTCTTCATAGACAAACACTGGCAGTAGAATGCATCGTACTGAAGAGCTCACTGACTTTAAACATGGCACTGTCATACGATATCACTTTCGCCACAAGTCAGTCAAATGGAAGCCGAGTGCTGAAGCACCTTGAGCATAAAATAGGCCTGTCCTCTGTTGCATCACTCAATACAGAGTTCCAAACTGCCTCTGAAAGCAACATCAGCACAAGAACTGCGCATCAGAATTTTTGTGATATGGGTTTACATGGCCGAGCTGCTGCACACAAGCCTAGGGCACGATACGCAATGCCTAGTGTCAACTGGAGTGGTGTAAAGCATGCCACCACTGGAGCAGTGGGAACGTGTTCTCTGGAGTGATAAATCACCCTTTACTACCTGGCAGTCTAATGAACAAATCTGAACCACTACCTACCGGAAAGCATAGTACCAACAGTAAAGTTTGGTGGAGGAGGGATAATGTTCTGGGGCTCTGTTTCAGTTTGAGCTCACTCTCTTAGTTCCATTGAAGGGAAATAACATAAATTACATTATGGGTAATGTTACAACATACAAAGACATTTTAGATAATCATATGCATCCAACTTTGAGGCAACAGCTCAACTCCACTGAACACCTGCTGGACTGGAACATCGAGCCAGGCCTTCTTGTCCATCATCAGTGCCTGACCTCACAAATGCTTGACTGAACGGACACAAATTCCCAAAGACATACTCCAAAATCTTGTGGAAAGCCTTCCTAGAAGAGTGAAGAGTGATATTAATGCCCATATTCATAGTTTTGGAAAGGGATGTCCAGTACAGGTAAGTGTGACGGTCAGGTGTCAACAAACATTTGACCATATAGTGTATCTGACATTTTTATTGTTTTCTGTAAAAAAAAAAAACAAAGCTTTTTTTAGACCTTTTGAAATTGTGTTGTTTTACCTAGTGAAATTCTCTTGTTCCACTAGCAGATAATTTAGCTTGTTTCAAGCACTAGTTCATCAAACAAGCAAAATGACCTGTATGAAATCATGAGATCATTTTATTAGATAAAATTACATAACACATGGAAAACACACCTGGATAATCTTACTGCATTCTTACAACAGAAGAACAATATTTCATATATTAACAGGGCTGTTTTCACCTGCCATTATTGCTGTGTAGAAGGGCAGAAATCAGTAGTCATCTGGTCCTAAGTCAACATCTCTAGGTGCAAGCAGCAGGTGTTCTGAAGTTCACAGAATGGCAGCAGGCCAGCTGATAAGATAACTTTATGTACTTAACATTTTATGCAGTATATCAACTCCCCTATAAAGAGGCCTTATCAAGCCTGTTTGTGGAAATGTAATTCCACACTGGATCCACCAGATGTCTCCGTGAATGAACCTGACGACCTGCAAATACTAAAAAGTATACATGCTTGACTGTATGGCTTAAAAACATAGTATGTTTCAAGGAAAGATTCCTCTGAAGGCTGTTCAGGATAACAGGCATGATGTTTGGGTTCAGCAGATTTTAGAAAGGCTATTCATCCAGGTATAGCAAGTTTATGGACAATATTTCATGCATAAAGACCTGTCTGCTAGGCAGGCACGGACAGGCAATGACTTGACAATGACACACAAGAGACTTCATTAAAAGCCTCTATAGTAGCTCTGAATTTTATTTTGTACAGGGTCATTTCACAATTACTATACAGTCTTTATTACAAAATTATTTACACAATTCAAACAATCCTTGATCCACTGTTGAATTTAGGCACAAATGAAAAAATCATGTATACAAAAAGCATTCAGATAGTTCATTCAGATTTAGAATAGACAGCCAGAAGTGAATCACATTTTTCTTAACTGTGATAAAGTGAATCATCTAAATCAGTTACAGAAATACTGATCTAAGGTGCAGCTGTGCAACCACAGCAAAGAGCCCCAGAACTGACCCAGGGTTAGAGAAAAAGCTGTATATGTTAAGAATACTTATCACAATCTTGAACCTCAGGTAACAATCACCTGTAGCTCAGTCTTTGGGAATACTTGGTTAGGAAATTTAAGACAGATACATCACAAACAGTGACTTCATGCATAGAGAGAGGCAGCAAGAAGACCATAAAAGAAAGACAGAACATAAAATGGTTGGTAGTTGTGAAATGAAATGAGAAAAAACATCTGATAAATAGGTTCACAGTGTAAAACAGTAGTGACAGCACATCACTACATAGACAAGACCAGTTTAAAGACCTCCAACTCTTAACTGAGGTCGAAAAAATGCTGTAGTATCAACGCTTTTCTAGTTAGGCATACCTGGTTAATAGCTTGCTACTAGCATCTTGCACCACCTTGTAAATATTTTTGTTCACTCCAAAAGTTAGCTTAAAAACAAGTGATTTATTATTATCATCATCATCATCATCATTATTATTATTATTATTATGAACACTGGGACTTTCTGCCTTGAGCTGCACTCGGAAAGTCAGACTGCAGAACTCCCCACGCTGCGACTGCTGGCATGCAAAATGACCCTAGAGTAAACCTTCAGCTTGATGTAATTTAAGATTCTGTATTGCTTAAAGTTCATTAATTAAAATAATTAAACAAATGCTCTGAACTAACAAGCAAAAAAGAAAGCATCTTTGTGGCATGTTGAATTAGAAATCTGCCAAACATAAAGCAATCGAAGTATAACTCAAAACGGAGTTAAAATATATACTAAAGCTTTCCTGTTTTCCATCTTAACTCATATCTCCCAACACCCCAATCAACTGTGTGCACCTCACTTCCTCTCTACACGTACCACAAAACAGAGAGCACTAACATGGCACACAGTAACATTCCACCCCATCAAGTCTACAGTAATAATCATCGAAGATAACCGAATGCAAATATGAAAGTTGAAATATTAGCCTAGTGTAAAAACACTGACAAGAAATGATAAGACAAAATAAAGACAAACAATATATAAACTCTCTCCAATTTTGTTTGCACACTTTTCCAAAGAGACACTGAGCAAAGCTGATCGAGGCTATGGGCCTCAGCTGGCTACAACTGCCAGCTTGTCGTCTTCACAACACCATAAACACGGACTGAGATCAGACGACAGGCATTCAAATCATTTGAGCAGTCTCCGATTGCTTTAAAAAGATACACCAAAGCCTACAGCACTATCCTGCGCTGTCAGATATTGTGACATTAAAACCATGAAGCAAATTAGGTCTCAATTTTTAGCCCAGATTTTTTTTTTTCTGAGTCCATGAAGTTTCATCTAAGCCAGAAGAGCATCTGTTCGTGGAGATGGAGCAATAGATAATTTTAGAATGCACGCAACCATGGAAGAAGCTGATTACTGGCCACAGCCCATGCTTAACAAAGGTCCTAAAATGTTAGCAAATGACATTTAGATTAAAATCATCAAAACTAGATTTCATAAACTGATTCTAAAAATCACATTTTACAGAACAAAACAGTGTCTACACAAGACCTAAATGAAACATTCCCAAACTAAAATCAATAAAAAGTATGCTTGCATTGCTATGGTCCTGAACGGACCTACAATAAATGATGCTCGTGCTGCGTCGGTTTCTGACAGCCCATTTTAACACTAAAAAGGACTCTGAAGAACCACCAGGCTTTAGATTTGTAATTCTGTCCCGAGGTTCTCCAGGTTCCTTTATGAACTATAGTGGCAAGCCCATTATTCTTCAGACAGATGAGAGACTTCAGGTAAAAATGACACATGCATAGACTTTTCCGCAGAGCACAGCCAAGCTGGTGCGTCACATATTAACATTGTGCAATAGATAAGGGTTAAGACTGAGTAGACACTGAAACTTTTCTGAGACACACCCGAGCTGCTAGAGACACCTGTTAGACACGGCTGTACCACAGCACAGGCAAGTGTCATGCACAATTTTGTTTGACTTAAGATGAGCGTGACCAGAAGATAATTCCCTGTTGTCACAGAAACAACCATGGGAAGGTTTGGAGGGGGCGTAGCTGGATGTGCACATATTGGCTGTCCCGCCTCAGAGGGGTGCGTCTGGCTGTCTCTGCATGCGGCGCTCAGCTGCAGCTGCTAGCATCCTGCGACGCACGGTCATAGAGTCCGAGCTAGAACGTTCATCCTCCAGAGAGGGCACAGTATCATCGCTCTCAGGCATAGCAATTGCAGCTGCAGCAAAGGATGAAGCAGCTCCTTCTCCAGAACTTTTGTTCAGATAGCGTCTGACAGAGAGAAGGTGAACCAAGATTAAGAAAAAGTGCCAAAGATAGCATACAATTACTTTGGCATTAAAGACACCTAAATTAAATTACAATGGAATTACATCACTTAACCCCTGAATCTCCAGGAACCTGGCCACATAATACAAAACACCTATCTGCTGTTTAAGTAATGTAACACGGTAAACAACAGTTCTGCTTATTAAGAGTTTGGTTTCATTCATACACATACTGGATAAATAGTCCAGTCCATTTATTAATGTAAATAAATGAATAATGAGCTTAGACTTTAAGGGGTTAAAGTCAAAGTCAGTTAGGTAAGAAATTAAAGACCATTAAAGACTACAAGCAGACCTGCGTGCTCTCTGCAACAGCTCCTCCTTCCTCTGCAACAGCATCCTCTGTCTCTCTTCTGCAGACTTTGAGAAGCGACTGCCCCGGACCTCAAAGTCCTCCGTCTCTGCAGCAGAGACCTCTGGACCACCGCTGGCTCCCGCTGGCTCCTCTGGGGTAGGGTTCACTTGTATGGGTGTGCGGTCTACAGGCTGAAAGCAACAGTATAAAGAGATAACTGAATTCTAAGATATAAGTGATGTCTGGTACGATAGTACAACATTACATTAGCATATTCTCTTAGCTTGGGGTGCAATTAATTAGGTCTTATTCTCTCTCCAGTGTAATTCATGCCTTTGTTAGCACTTGATCACATCTCCTCATTATTCTGGCACACGACAGATGGTACTGTCAACTCTTCTCCTCAGTTCAATTATTATTTTAAAATGTAAGGCATTTAGCAAAAAAAAATAATAATCATAATAATAATTGATCTGTTTTTCCCTCACTAACACTAACTGAAACTGGGGGTAGCTAAAAGTTGTCAGAGGAATAGAAATGCATCCCTCCAACTGAAAAGTGTAATGGTGTCCACCAGGTATCTCACACCTCTACCAGGATGAGGCACTGCTTTATGGTGCTGCAAGCTGGCTACATCTTTGCAGTCTTCTTTGTTCTTACACTGTCGCTTAAACAATGTACTTCATGAATACTGAGCCAAATCCTTCATTTAATTCCCATGCATAAATTACCAATTTCAGAATATGTTGTAATATGTACTGTTAGTTCATGTGGATGATAAGGAAAGTGATTTTCACTGCTTTTTACAGTTCACTCATTCTTGGCCTGACAAAATTATAAGAGCATAAAGTATTCTGAAATCCACCATACACAGGCTCTTGTACACAAGATACTTAGTATAAGGGATTCACAATCAGAATTAGCCAAGATTGGAGTCTGCAGACGTTTGCTCAAAAACGAAATCAGTAATCAGCAATTTTGCTTTTATTTTGGTAGATAATGAGACAGTGAGTAAGAGCACTTGCTCTGTATTTGAATGCTGCTGCTGCTACACCTACAACAAAATCCAATACCATACTTAAATAATTCTTTGCGCTAAATAGCCAGTTGTTTCTTACTTTCAATGTAGCACTTGTGTTTGATTCACATTAATTAAAAAAAGCATCTGAATTAAAATAAATTTTTAAATGCCAGCTTGGCAAAATAAAGGGCAACTAATGTTGTTTATACAAGAAGCTTGGCTAATAAAAATGTACAGCAAATGTGCAAGCGTTCATCTGACCCACACGGTGTGAGCGTCTGATTTAAAACAAGCTACACAAAAATCTACCGATGTGACTAACAAAACTGGCATCGGAATCGGCCATAAAAATTCATGCTTGGTGCGTCCCTACTTATTACAGGGCAAGGGGAATACACAAAGGTTAGGGTTTATGATCTCCCATCTGCAAAGACTAGAACTCCTACTGCAATTCCTGCATTGCATTATGAGTCTCTCTCACGCTGCAAGCTGTGCTCTAATAAAGTGTGGGGATTACCTGAGCAGGGAAAGGCACCTGGATCCTGCCCTCCAGGATGTTATCAGTGGTGACTTCCACAGAGCGAGTGAGCTGCAGATCCTGTAGGACCAGGTGGTAAGGAACCTGGGGAAACATCTCCTGGATCTGATGCGCCTAAAGGAACCAAGAAAGAACAGACAGAACAAATATCTTAATTTTAACAAGTTGAAAATGATGGAACAGAAGTCACAACATGACTGCAACTATTCAAATGTGATGTCTCACCATCGCGTTGAGCTGAGAGTTGTTGGCCTGTGCAATGCTCAGGATGTTGGGTGTATGCATGACCTCCACGGAAAAGCTTGGGAGCCAGCTAGCAATTCGGGAGCCTAGAAGACATCAGAAACACTTTGTCTACCAGGCGGACAGCAAGCCAAAAACAGGCAAATATTCAGTACATTAAGATTGTTTTAATAATCAAAACTGTCATGAACGACTGCTTTTACCATCAAAGTGAAAGAAGTGGTTATGTTGGTTGAGGTGAGGTCTGGCATCAGCCCCGGGACCTGCAGCCATGTTGTCATCCATTGGTGCCCTCTGGCCCTCCTCCCTCTCTCTCCCACCTTCATTGATGTTCAGTGACATACGACACGTTGGACAAGAGGTATCCTGCTCCAGCCATGAGCGCAGGCAAGAACTGGACATATACAAAGATATATACAGATCAAAAAAATGTACATAAGAAGGACAAAAGGCACACAAGCATACATAAAACCGTTAGGATAAACATTCCATTAGTTCAAAAATAAGCTACAAGAAAACACACAAATTACAACAAGTATATCCGGTCATTGTGGATTATGCACCATATCATCACTGTAGGAAAAAACACTGTATAAGCCACTACTATTTTAACTCCCTGCAATGCTGCATATGGCTTACTTGTGGAAGAGGTGTCCACAGGGTAGTTTCCTTGCTGAGGTCATTGAATCCCAGCAGATTGCACAGTCATCGTTATTGGCAACCAGCTCATCTGGGGTTGCTACTGCAAATCTATACCACGATGAAAAAGGGAAAACACACACTTCAGTTCAAGGACTATACATTTTGCGTTCATGTCAGTGTTTTTCCAAACTGAAAACACAGCACAGACTACATCATGTGCATTGGAAAAAAATGGCCTGACCTGGACTCCATGTTGTCAATGACACGCAAGTAGTTCTTGTGACGACGGATTCTCCGCTGCACCTCATGGAAGAGATAACGCAGCTGCATAAAAATCACCAGACTTGCCATGGACAGCCAGATATTCCCAAAGAGCTGAGAAGAGAGATCAGAGGTCACATGTCACGTTTTCATATGACTGAGTGCAGCATCTGCACAAACTGAGAAAAGTGAAGGGAAAAAAAATAAATAATGCAACAGCTCTTTCAGAGCATACATAAAAATCCAACCCTAAGGCTAAGAAAAGAAAGAACGGTCATAAGTACCACACTATGCATGTGCTATATGCCACATTAATGATGAATGTTTATAACTGAGCTGAAACAGAATGACTATCGTACATGAAAACAAGGCCATAATTGTAAGCCTTATCTGCTCGATTAGAGGCCATTTATGGAGTTATTCAATCCAGCCCTCTAACTCAGACTAGCATATGAGTCTAATCTGTCCAATTATATCAGCCTCTAACTCTTCTGAGCAAGCATACAGCTAAAGCTGGAGCACTTAAGAGCAGTTCCAAGAGTGAATTTTGATGGCCTTAGTCTTAAACTGATAAAGAAACTCAATTTATGTACATTCACACATACATACACACATACACCTGGGCAAAAAAAAAGGGTCAAGCCCAAAATAAAACGATTTTTACTGATAGCTTTGGCCTGGTCAGAGTCCAGATTTATACTCTTTACACAAACTAGCTTGGCTACAGTTTGAAGTCAACAATGCTGACTCTTATTTCTGTAAAAGGTTGTCTGCAAATTCACACTCAAATCTTTAATGAAATCAAAGGGAAAAGCTATCCCAAATTACCAATACCAAGTTACTTTATATATTTGTTCAATGATTTGTCATTGAGCCCAGTTAAGCTTAATGTTGTGCCATTTTGGGCTTGGCTCTTTTTTTGCCCAAGAGTGTATGCATGTATCTTATATATATATATATATATGTTAGTTCATCATACATTCTATTTTATGATGTTACCTTCGAAATAAAGGGTAACACTACTGTAGGGTGCTGCATGTAAGGCTATATGACACATATGCTTGTCCTATAAATGCTTAACCCCGTCATCGGTCATAAAGGCAGATCAAAACTAACAATAAGCTTTATTAAACATTTATGTAGGATTTATGTCAGTTGTCACGGCAAGCTTATGTAGGAGTCATGCAGCCTTATGGACAATACCCTACAGTAAAGTGTTACCAAATAATGCAACTGGACTTCACAGCACATTAAGATGTCATTACGCAACAGCTTCGCACAGGTGTTGAATTTCACTAGATGTGCTTTAATCTTAATTTATGCTAAACATAGTCCAACAAGCTCAAGTGTCCATCAGACTATGAATATGATTAAATCATAATGTTTAGCATTCTATAAAATGAACTGCTTTCACATCACTGGACATGTCACTCACCAGCATGTGGATGTGATGCATCAGGTCAAGGCAGAGGAGGGCAAGCTCCATAATGAAATCTGTGTAGTAGACATAGGAGCCTTTGCTCTCCCAGGTCCCTTCATGATTCAGGTCCCACAAGTGAATAGAGTACCTACAAAAACAGTACTAAGGCCTCAGCGCTGTATTTCTGCATGCACAGAAATCTGAGAGAGAGCTACACAGCTCAGATTTCATAGTCAACAAATGACATAACATAAACGGTATGCTCGTAATGGATACTGCGCTGACAAAATGCTTACCTTATGATAACATGTCCAGTACGCACCGTAACAAGTAAACACTGGAAAACAGACAAAGATTAAGGTTTTTTTACGTACAAAAACAACTTTATAGATTACAGCATTATAGCGTCACAGAGCATCTCAGAAACCGGAGTCCTTACCTCAGCCGCCATAAACGCCACCGTATGCATGCCATGAAGATGCCCAACCAGGCCACAGAGAGTAGCTAGGACTCCACAGCAGAGCAGCATGGACACTAGCAGGGCCAGTACTCGCACATGACTGGTCATGGGAGTGGTTGGCGAGAAAGAAAGCTAAGAAACAGAAATAGAATGAAAGTAGGTCCAGATCAGGCGCATTTCTGTTAACTTCATAATTCCAAATAAAACAGCAGCAAGGGTTTTACTACTCTTGTGCCAAATAATTTCATACAGGTGTTTGTGCTAAAGTTTCTAAAACACTACAGTCTAAATGGAGTCCAAAGGAAACTCTCTGACTTTTCCAATGCATTTTGAAAGGTATTTCCAGCCAACCATCATTTCAAAGTGACTCTAGAGTTACTCACATATTCAAACCGATCTTTACAGAGCTGAACCATGAGATGGAGAAAGATGAGCACAGCGAACCACAAACACCATAGCACTACCTCCTCCACTGTCTGCACATTCAGCACCCCAAAAATAAAGATGAATTTATAGAAGATGAAGTTCCAGAACTTGTCCTTCAAATGCTGTTGGGACAAAGCAAGCAGAGAGGCACAGGAGATCAAGTGAGAACAAAGGCTTTTTGTAAAACCCCTCCAAAATATACATTTCCCAGCACAAAAACTTTGTCTTTAGACACTGGGACATCAAGGTGTAGGCAGAAGCAAATGATGCAAGCTACCTGAATCAGTGAATGCAATAACATGTTCAACAGTAGCACTAGGCCTAATGCAATTCTGCCTTCATTATTACTAGTGCATTAACATTATTTATTAACTGGGCACCCATATTCCCACAAGTCCTATGCCATGCACATGGGGTTTCGCTCCTACCTGTTTCTCGCTGACCCGCAGTGGGCCAAAAACGATGCACTGGATCATCTTGGCGATGAGCATGAGGATACAGCAAGCTGTGTTCACCATCACCTGAGGAAGATAGACAGTTCAGTATGTTTACCCCTCTGTTCTTCACCGAGACAGAAAGAAAGCAAAGAAACGCTTTCAAAGACAGACCAATACACATACCCAAACAAATAAGCTGTCCGATATGAGATACAGCAGCACACTGGAGGCTACATTTTCAAAGCTATCGGCTTGGTCCACTTTAATGTCCTCGATGGTGGCGCTCTGAGAGTCTTCCGCCGCTGAAGGCGAAGGCTCGGGCTGTGTTACGGCTGTGTAGGCACTTAGGATCGACCCGGCCAGCAGAACCGCGCTCAGCGCAGTGTAGGTCTGCAGGCTAGGCCAGGGAAACCTCTCCAAAAACAACAGAGGCATAGCGACACCGTCCAGTGTGCAACGAGTCACTTCCAAATACAAGTTTCTTTTGTGTTTACTGAACAAAGATGGTGAAAACTGAGCTCTCCTCTCTTGTGACAAGCTCTCGGATTAGGGTCACGGCACGAAACCCAGGACGGCTGGCCAGACACGCCGAACAGGGAGAATAATACGGCTGTTCACAGCTTTCTTTTTGCACGTTACTGTCACGATTGTAAGTCACTGAACTACACGAATCCACCTTACCATGTCAGGTGACGGAAAGCTATGCTAGTCAGTCACCTAGCCAGCCAGCTAGCGCGCTCCGTCTGTCTGCCCTGTCTAGTCTTGTCTACGTGCAAACGACGGACCCGCTCACAAACACACGGAACATACCCACATTTACTCTGCTGCTCTTGTCCGTTTTAAAGCCCATCACTACAGGTTAACACTTGTTGGTTCAGTACCGGTGACAGTTTAAAACAGTTGACGGTTCAGTGGTAGGTTAGGGAGTCCGTGTTGTTGGTTAGCTGGTTAGCTGCTGTCAGGCTAACCGCTCCAGCTCCGCGGCCGAAATCGTTCATGTGTTTTAAGCGGATTAATCCAAACTGTGCTGGTCGGACAGAGGACTCGTTATTCACACCGATCTTCGGTGAAGACTCTCGGGCTGTGAGCCGTGGGCCGAGCTCTCCAGAGCAGCTGTCTGTCTATCTGTCTGTCTGTCTCTTTGCCTGTCTGCGGGTTATTTCTCTTCCAGTTGTTTCTCGGACCTTCTCTCTGTCTCTCCTACCTTTTCCGGCGCTGCTGACGTCACGAAAGCCTCTTCCGCTGGTTACGCAAGAACGCAGAGCTGCGTGTCACTTGGCTTTCAGTTCAAACTTCAGAAGTTTTTCAGCCATTTTCAGGGTGTGTTCATATTCGTATTTCAGACACTTTGACATTTTCAGACACGTGCAGTGTGGTTTTAGGTGTGAAAAAATCACTAATCAATAAACAAGACTTAAAGACAGAAATAAATAGCCCCGCTACGACATCCAGGCTACAGAGAAGCTCATTCACATGAGCCATCACTCTCTTCAACAGTTAATCATTACACATGCACTATATTCCTACGTCTGAACTGCACTTCTAAATATACTGGTTTATAGTATCACACTCAACTTTCCATCCTCTGCAACTACCATCTCAGACCAGTTTCTTCTAGCAACTCACTTACCTGCCTTATTACCCCACTTACCTGACTGTTACCTCACTGATCCCGTTCTTTGCCACTATACCTTTAACTGCTGCTGCACTCAGCAAATTAACTTAAGACAAATTAACTTAAGACAACTTTGTACAATGTAAGGTTAACAGGTATGACTGTGTGTGTGTGAGAGAGAGAGAGAGTGAGTGATGGCCTGAGTGTATGGTAGGAATGCATGTTTTATTGTTTTTATTTAATACTGTAAAATGTTTGTCAGATACTGTGCACTGTGAGCTCTTGTAACCAAAACCAAATTCCTTGTATGTGTGTAAGCATACCTGGTCAATAAACCTTGATTCTGATCAGCAACGACCAGCTGGCTGATTACCAGCATAACCAGCATATGTTATGTTTTGGATGCTGGTATGCTGGTCAATCCACATGACTATGCTGGGTGACCAGCTAAAACAGCACCAGGTCAGCGTAAGCCAGCATAGGTCAGTTTAGACCAGCTGGTCTCTGCTGTCCTTTTTTCCTCAGCAGGGAAGACACAAGTTTGGATGTTATGGCTGATGGAACTACCCCTTATAAAATTTGTTTTTTAAAACAGAGACCATAATAAAGGCTTAGGATTGACTTGTTTTGCCTTACACACCACTGGATCATTCGATCAAGCTCCTGACATCAAAATTTGCTTCCAGTTATTAAAACTCGTCTGAAGGAGCAAATAGGGCTTACAAATGGGCTAAAAATTGTGTAGTGTAGGCTTCACACAGTATAAATCGGGTCTGTTTGAGTTGAGCTACCGTAGAATTGTAATTTTTACTGTAATCTTATCTATTCAATGCCTACAGTGAGTTTGTTTTGGCATCAGTACAATATGCCTTTTCATTTTTAAAATTAAGAATAAAGAACCAGAGAAAGTGGCAAAATAAGCCTTTATGTTCAATGAACAGTTGAAAAAATATTTTACATCAAAGCTGCAAGGCATTGTGAATTTCTGTGCATAGTAAAATGTCACATACCTTGATGTTTCATCACAATTCATAAATAGAAATCTGCAATCTGAAAAACTCTCAGATAATAAGTGTCTATCAGTTAAAGAGCTGTGTATCAGAAAACGTCACAAATTCATGTACTCTTTGCCAATCATAACTAACCCATGCCAAATTAAACAATAATTCCAAAGATATAATAAACAATCACAACCTGGTTACACTTTAACAGTGTAAGATCTCCTTTGCAGCTATCTTAGAACATTATGATTACAAAACCTTATTGCATAGAGTTGAGTCATAAATACCCTTAACAGTCAACATTTAGTGAAGAGTTAAACATTTTATACTGAATGTCATATTTAAGGCACCTCAACAAAAGGCACATCTAGTCTCAGGTCTCAGCTGGAACATTCACATTTTCCACAAGTCCAGTTCAAAACACATCATATTGCTAACAAACAAAAGAACCCATAATATATAGCGCTGCTTATAAACAAGTTTATATGGCTAATAAAAAAGTTATTACATTCTATTCAAGAGGTCCTTTGAAAGGCAGGCAGAGTATATAGGCACAGTATGTACAGTACAGTTTGATCACGTCAGAGCAACCGATTCGGTAACAGTGCAGCTATGGCACGCTATGAGCATCCCCTGCAGGGTCCGGACTCTGGAACCAGTCTCTGACAATGATCTCACTCACTGAAAGAAAAAAAAAAAAAGAGAAGTTAAAAATAAATATTTCCTCTTCACTTTGGCTATTTGACCATGTATAGTTAATAAGATAAAAATACACAGAGAACATGGCTTAAAGATACTCTTACTCTCTCTACAAATGCTGAATAAAAATGGCTTTGGAGAAACATCTGCAACGTTTTAAGGCACTTACCTCAAAATGCTCAAAGCTCATAAGGACAGTTTTCTGAGCATGGATTAAAGTAAGCCCAAGACTGTAAAGTATATATACTGACAATAAACATCTAGAAATTCAATGCCTGGCTTAAAGGGCGACTTTTCTGATTTTTTTCAAGGTCCTGCATAATTAAATAGTTCAAATGTAAACAAAGTTATTTAGAGTGGTTTGACGTGAGATGCACCACTCTAGAGAAACTTCCCAAATCAGAATTCAAAGTGGTGGTGATAGGAACTAGATGTCCAAAACATTCAAAACACTACCTCACAAAGTTTTTACATTAGTTGGTTACGAATACGCTGTCAGATGCCTAAAGTCACTGTTTTATGATAGTTTTGAAAAGGTTTTGGCCTAAAACTTTTTTTCTCTAATCTAATCATGTTGGAGAGGTAAATGCAGGGCACTGTAAAGCAAAATAGTGTCCAAAGAAAACTGTTTTCAGATTTACCACTATACAACATTATATATAAAAACTTGCATGTGTAGTTTCACTGGTAGTTTTGAAGTGTAAATATAATGGCTGTATTTACATTGTATAAATCACAAACCCCGATTCCTATCACCACCCCTGCAAAGAAATCAGTCTGTATGTTTCTCTATAGTGAACCATTTCACATCAAACCACTCCAAATGACTATTTTACATCTCGAAGACTAAACTCTGCTGAATTTTTGAAAAATCGATAGAATCCCCCTTTAACATGTATATGGAAGTTCTGCTGTTCTTGTCTGTATGTTTTCTGCAGTATTTTAGGACCATCCGAGGGCAGTGTTGTTCCTGCAGTTGGTCTGGTTACCTCTGTATGACTTCCTGTAATTCTGTGCAAGCCCCTGTGAAGCCTCTGTGAATCTTTGTACAACCACAGCTTGTATGTGTGGTGTGAAAACACAACTGTTTGAGTTATGGGACACTATGAGATGTTACTTTGCTACACTTGTGTCCTTACAGTTGATTTGCACAGATCTGCTCAGATCAAATGTCAGACAGATAAACTCAGACTGTGGTGGTTCTAAAATGAAAATTCACAAGGGTCTATATATAACATCAAACAAAACGCCTACACAGAATTGACAACGCAGCACGAATGTTGGTATCTTTATATCTTATCTCATTCCTACCAAGGGTTTTAGACATCTCCTGAAAACGGAAAACCTTCCCCCAGCATAATACATTATAATTACACTATAATCCATTTCAATAAATACTAAATACATTTCTAGCAACAGTAAATGTACATCTTCAGTAAGATCTGTTCACGAGAAAACAAAAGACAACATACACGCAGGTTAACACATACGCCTGCTGGCAATGAAAGGGACTATGATGAGGAACAACGGTACTCAGTCATCAGGGGGGCATAGCAGTCCACTGCACCTGTCCTCTCCAACACACAAAAGTGGAGCTGAGACATGGTGGCGGAAAGCCAGGTTGGGTGGGCGTATGTGCTCTTTTGCAAACACAACAGTAGGACAGAGTAGGGAGTACAAGAATACACTTCATATGATTATATTTGCAGTAATTAGACTAAAGTGACAGATTGAAAGTGATTATCTGAAGAATCCTCAGTCAAAATGTAACAATTTTAATCAAATTGTGGATCAAGGTCAAATTCCAGGGTAAAAGATTAGAAAACCAATCTCATATCTGCCTTAGAGGTGCTTGTCAGGAGATCTTTCATAGTGAATGTGTAGTTTCATGAAAATGCACATGAACAGAAAACAACAGTATAAACAAAGGTCAAATCAGTGAAGGCCAGTATTGACAGGCTATCCAGTAGGGGGCCAATATCCTCTGCTATGTGAGGATCTCGTTCAGTGCTAAGCGCAGGAATGTCTTGTCCGAACCATGCACGTCTATCACTACAGTGGCTTAACAGCTGTGCACTAGTAACTACAGAAGATTAAGCTCCACGGTATATATAGCTCTCTCACTGACTCGATGCAATGCTACATACAAGCCCGTATCCTCTTTCCCACCATGCTGCAGGACTGTAGACTATAATTAGGCCCAAACCAAACAGGTTTCCAAACACTCGGGGTGGCAACTGCTGGACTCTGCTTGAGAGTAAACAAAAGTCACAAGCATATGGCTTGTCCTTTATACCATTGAGTTGGGTCTGAATTTATATGAACACACGGCCCAGTAATTACTGTCTTAAACACCTGTCACAAATATACCTTTAATTGGAAAGAAGACCAGAAAAAGTAACAGTAAACTGGCAGGAAGGGGTATAACAGCATGCATATTATTAATCCCTTTCATTAATTCAGGGGCTGTGAGACAATACATGATTTACAATTTATGCTATATGTGATAAAGTGTCATGGTGCAAGAACATCAATACATATCATATTCTGAAATTTGTGTATGGTTACACCTAGACTTGTGCCTGGTGGTGGTAATGGTCCCCAGTAATGGTAAAAAACAGTTTATTGCCAGTTTAAACACCTGTCATTCTTTTACTTACGTATTTCATACAATCCCCAGGAAAACACTAGTATTCCCACATAATTTAACTTTGAATCGTTTTGGGTGGTATCCTACATTAATACTATTTGTTGTACCTAACATAAATGAGTCTGTTGTAGAAATGTGGCTGTTGAGCTGCGCTGCTTGTGCTCTGTTCTGCGGGCAGATATCATGTCTGTATAAAATAATGCCTCGATACTGCGGTGTGTTTCAGGCCATTCTCAGGAAACAGCTTCTCAGGAAAACACACAAATAAAAAAATTTCTCAGCTTTCATAAATCAAGAAAATAAAAGAAAAACAGGCCGTTTACAAACAGCTTTGGGTGAAATGGCATCAGAGGAGAAGGCTTCAGGCTAAGCTAAGCAGCCTTGAATGGTAGAGTTTGTATGACATTTGCAATTCCATACTTTATCACTAGAATTGAATATGAATTAGTTTTGTTGCCAAATTAAATATGACACTATACTACAACACAATTTTTACTGAACTGTGTTTTTATTATTACTCATATGCTATTATTGTTTGCTATAAATGCTATAACTCATCACTGTTTTCAGGGCCAGGGGCTGTCTCAACATTAACAGACGAAAAGTGTTGCATTTATTCATTTTTTGTTCAAATTTTTTTATTTTATAGTCGTTATAACTGTTAATATCTTTATTATGGATACAACCCGTTCCCCAAACCCCCAACACAGAAAAACTGCTTACCCAGGTTATTGTCCACACGGTTACTTGACCAAGAGGCCTAGTTACACCCGTAATCTTCCCCTTACTACAACATCTACTACAAGAAACAAGGATCATTTAGGCTCTTACCGTCATCAAGAGTTATATCCTGTAGCCCAATGGACTGGAAAGTAAGCTCCTTCTCTTCCGCTGGTTCTTGTTTAATGTTAAGCATCTTTCCATCCAAGGAGTGATCTTGTGAAGCTCCAGGACCCAAAGAGGTCTCGGGCCCGCTTGTCCCAGCTGCCTGAGGAGACGGAGTTTTGGTAGACTTCAGGTTTATAAGGGCTTCTCTGTTTAAGGGTGAGGTAGAAGGCACTACTGTAGAAGCTAAAGGTGGATGGGAGACAGGAGACTCTAGGGAGGAGGATGACTTTGGCAGCCCATCCAGATCCACAGGATTGGATATATAATGGTTGGGGCTACTTAGGTCAGGCTGGTTTGAACCTGAGGAAGGGCTAAGGTAGCCCTCGTTATATCTTGGGGCAGAGACTTGATTCACAGGATGAACACCTCCAGTAGAACCATGATGTCCAATTCCCAAGAAAGACGCTGCATGCTCTGACATAAGGGGTGACAATTTACCCCCACTGGCAAGATCACTGGGAAGACTGGACTGTCCATTGTAGGATAGGTTCTGTTGAGGTCCCTGGTATGAGGGCTTGGAGAAATCCAGAGATGGTGGGTTGAATATTGAGTGAAACCCAGGTCCAGTGCTAAGGCTACCATCTGGAGGATGTCGATCAAGATAGGAGGAGCCCATTGGAGAGTAGCTCAATTGAGTTGAGGATGGAACACAAACTGGACCTCCAGAGTAAAGCCACTGCTCCAGAGGGTTGACATGGTCCTCTACATCATCTCCAACATCACATTCCTGCTTTACCTGCACTGCTTTAAAAGACAAAGCTTAATTAATCCAAGTGTTTGCACAACAGTATGGTTATTTGTAGAGCAATTAATCTCTTAAACTCTATTTTAGGTGTGTTTTGAGTCAATGGGTTTGCTGTCAAAACTACTATCTGTAGTAATCAACCATGTGCTACAGATTGGGCAAGAAATGCTGCAGTATAGACAAATAACCCCTTAAACTCTTTATTTAGGTTCAGTAATCGCTGATACTGCCGGCTATGTTAACATTAGACGCCTTATTCAAAAACAATGCTACAAGACTTTAGCAATATGTTCAGCATGCTCCCTGCTGGGAATCTCACTACCATAATGCCAACCGTGCAAGTAAAACATGTGACTTGCACTGGCTATACCTTTTAGTGGGTCTTTACCTGAGACATAGTGGAATTGCTGAGCAGGGCTCCTCTTTCTCTTGCCATTGCTGATGTAAAATTGTACCTGAGTGGAGGCCGTTAAGATCCTCTTATAATACGGAGGGATCTTCACCACAATGCTCGTCTGCAAAGGTCAATAATTATGGTTAAATTTCCATCCTTATTTTACCTGACTTAATAGACAGACTGTATATTAACATAACCTATTTTAACAATTATACTTAAATTCTGTTTTAGTGATACTAAAAAGGCAAAAGCAAAAAAGAAATTGCTAAATAGTTCAATTAAAGTAAAGAGCCTTACATCTGTACTCTTTTCACAAACTATTTTTGCATCCACCTCCCACTGAGTTTTGCCATCTGGAATGGATAAAAGGAATATCAAGGCTTTTTTAAAAGAGACATAGGCCTTGTTTTGAAAACAGCACTTGAATAGGAGCAGAAAAACAATTCATATTTTATGATTTAAGAAGGGAGCTCTGTGGAAGCCTCTTACCAGGGCCCTTTTCTAAGAAGATGACCTTCGACTCTGGGGTGATATTTGGGCCTTTGATCAGCATCTCCTGACCTCCAGTCACAGAGCCAGAGGTAGGGCTGAACTGCTCTATCTGAGGCAGTTCCTGGGCTGACCGCTGGGCTAAAGATTGAAGAGAACCAGCAGCAAGTGAGTGGGACACAGCTACATGTTACTGTGACCTTTCTTACACAGGTACTACACAGGGATAAAAAAGCTCTCTTACTTCTTTGTTGGTTTTACAGGAGACACAATATATATATACATATATGCACAATATGTATCAGAGTCAAGTCAAGGTGTATTTATGTAGCGCTTTTTACAACAGGTTTTTACAAAGCAGCTTTACAGAAAAATCTAGGTCCAAGCCCTCATGAGCAAGACAATGGTGACAGTGGCAAGGAAAAACTCCCTAAGAGCAAGAGGAAGACACCTCGAGAGGAATCAAGACTCAAAAGGGGAACCCATCCTCCTCTGGTCGACACCGGATAGCAAACAATAACAAAAGAGCAATATGAACAGAGAATAAGATTTTGAAATGAGTATAGAATTTAAAAAAAACAAAAAACAAAACATAAATAATTTTACTAAAAAAAAACAAAAAAACAAGAACAGATCAGCCTTCAACCATGTCAACAGTTAATCAGTGTGTCTTAATACACTGTAAATCAGAAGTAAATCACAGTTGCAATTTATAGTAACAATCATAATATGACTATTTTGACCTTATTATCCAGCTGTACTTGGAACTTTTTTTTAGCAATGTACCAATACAATGTGTTGTATCGTTCAATATGAACCTTTCAATTCAATAAGAGCAGGCATTAAACAATACATTAAATGGACTGGAGCAAATCAAGGACTCGGTTTAATACTGAGTATACAGTGGGATGAATAATAAATGAAACAAGCAAGCCCACAGTTAAGGCAGACAGTCACTCCTCTGAACATATCGCTTTCTTGTTATATCAAAATTGAGAGCAAGGAGGAAAACTACACTCCTTGTAATCGTAAATTAGCTCTGGGATAACACATTAGCTTGTGGTTAGCACATAATATAACTATAAAATATTGTAGTTTAATAATGCTGACTGCTCTAATACACTGAAAACGTAAACATTCACATACTAATCTTAGGCAGATTTTCAGGCGCACTTTATTAATGCTGTATCACTAAAAGTATTAATTTGAGACACCACAGTATTTTATTGAAACAAAGTATGAATATTGTGAATCGTTACACCTTTGGACTTTCTGCTCATGTGTACAGGATGATATACTCACAGCACTCTATAGGTATGGAGGCCACCTGCAATGACAGCACTGTCCCACTGGCCTGGGGAATATGCACACGGAACACAGCCCGCACACGTGTGTTCTTGCGTCCAATGTCTGTCTCTCCCTTCCGCAGCTCAATGTCAGAGTTTCTGAGCTTCAGAATCCCAGCACAGTCGATGCTTCAAAGGAAAAAAAAGGAGTACCTCAAAACAATGAGCAAAAAAAAAAATAAGGGGGCCCAATATTGAAAGGAGAATGATCATACTGTCTTATACTAACTGAAATGGTAAAGCCTGCACACAGAAACTGCCTATTATCCCTGGGAGGGAAACAAGTCAGGCTAAATATAAATCACTAGTGTTTACGACGTGTACCTGGCGGACATGTTGTTTTCAGGGAGAAGGGGAATTTCGAGAATTTTTGTGCTGCCAATCAGCATCTCCTGGCTTGGAGTGGCCACCGTTTTGCCAGTAATCCTGTGCACCTGATAGAATGCGTGTGGTCTCACGTGACGATCATCTGCTGTCCCAATGAACATCTGTAGACTCACTGGTTTTTCACTGTAACCTATGAGCTGTGAACACAGAGGAAAGACACCATTGTTAAAAATAAAAGGCTCCAAATTGCTGCCATTGAAAACACTTATTCAGTTTAATTTTGACAATGTACCGTCTAAAAAGGTTAATTATAAACATGAAACAGACAGTAATCATTTGCATGTTTGTGCCAATTTCTTATGGTGAAATCAAGTGTAATAACAAAGTTATACACCACCAATCAAGATAAATGCATGACACAATCACCATAATCATAAAAATGGAGGTGCTGTGAAAAAAATGCACAGATAATCTAAAGCCTCATCCGTCTCACTACCAGTAAGCATGGTTAGACAGATGCCTTTTAGGTAAAAAGAGAAAAAGAAACTGGTCAACAAATGCAATGTTAGGTCTTCTTAGGAACAACTTAAAAATAGTTGGATTAGTCTACACCACAAGGTGGATGTGTGGTTCAGTGAATCACTTTGTAGTCATTCCTCTACTGAACAAGCCCAAAGTGTTCTAAGAAGATGCAAAACTCCGAAACTAGAAACTTGTAAAGAAACTGATTCTCACCGATATCACAAATGTAATGCAGATCTCACATATTTTATGGCATTTTATGAGTAAGTCACAATCAATCAACTTTCTGTTAGTGATAAAAGGAACACCCTTCATTGCAATTAAATTCAAGTTCCATCTTGTATGGTATGCACTGAAAATGCTCAAACGTCTATAAAGCTTTTAAACGAGTATCTCCCGTACAGAACCTTCTGTTTCTCTCTAACAGAGCCTTATTGAGTTGTGTTGTGTAAGACAATCTAACAGCACATACACTGTATGTTTACTAGTAGAAGGAATAACTTTTACCTTACTAAACTTCACCACAGCACTACTCATCTCCCCACAACAGTTTACATCAAAGTGAACCATTTCAACATTTGCAGACCATTACTTAGCACTATTTTGGCAGTAGCCTTTAGCTGGCAATAGCAGCATTACTAAATTAGTGCCCTACGCAGGCCAGCATCATATTTGCATACATTTGTGAATATTTACATACAGTGCCTGGCACAGTGTTTGGTTATGAGAAATAAAGACAACCTCTGAAAGATGAATTAGCGCCTTACATGTTATCTGATGTAGGAAGTAGCTACTTCTTGCCTTCAGGCTCTGATCTGGATCTGTTCTGACCTATGCTCATACTAGCTAAAAATAATCACTGGACTGTCAATGTCAGTGGACATCTGCCATTTGGGGGAAAAGAAGCCGTACCTTTACGATAGGGTGTCTTCCACAGGCTGATTTTATTGCTCCTCGACTGCCCTCTGTCTCATAATGCGCTCTGTGGTGGGGTTTGGGCTGTATCTCCAACTTTAGCTCACACTGCCCATACTGACTGGGCAGAGGGGAGTCCAGCGGGGGTAAAGATGTGGGCCTGAGAGACGCATACAGAGAAGTAGAGTGAGATACAACAAAAGATTCAGTCATTCATTAAAGACTCCAAGACTGTCATACCAAAACCTCAATTTTTGAGTTTTTTAATTTTTTACAGGGCCTACTGTACTTTCCATTGTGTGATCATTTCAGGATGAATGGATCAACAGAAATGGCCCAAAATTCTAGAAGTATACTGAAGTTAAAAACGATGTTGCCTTCTACTATCAATCTCTAAGCATAATCATGATATTTCCCCAGCTTCTGATACAGAGTTCACATTATCTATTAAATTTATCTCACATTTTCCTCAACACTAAATGTCTTTCTAATCACAACTTTGACATTAACCCAACACTTAAAACTAAGCTCACTACTGGTCATTTCTACTAGATAGTTTGTAAACAATCAATTAAAAGGTTTGTCAGGGAACCAAAAGTAGTTATTTTATAGCAAGGCTGCCAAACCCTTCTTCTGGTGATCTGCTGTCCTACAAAAATTAGTTCCAAACTACAGCTTACCACATCTGCTTGCAATGTTCACATGTTTCTTGCATCTTTAGATTTAGGTGGATCAGGTATGTTTTCAGAGTATAAACTAAAATAAAGCAATAATTATAGATACTGAAGCAGGATTCGTCCTCTACCTGAATAAAGGAGTTTGCGTTTGTTTAGGTTTTCCCCATGCAAAAGCTGGAGGGACGGATAAGAAATGTTCCACTATGTCCTCTTTCTTCAGGGTGGGCAGTGATACTTCTAAGTTTGAATCTAGAGATGGAGATATAAAGCTGTGATCTTTTAGCCCTGGATCTCCCTGCCCAGGCAGGAGGGATGTGGATTCCTGATTGTGGTAAGTCCTTCTGGTTTTAGTAGGAATGTCGATCTCAGACGAACAGGCCTGGAAGGACGCAGCCATCGCTCCAGGGCTTCCCAACCAGGTCTCATCTGTGACGCTGCCCCGTGGAGAGTGAGACGGACTTGGGCAGGGAGAAAGATGCGGCGAGGATGATCCTGGTACAGCCTCAGCGCTGGAATATGGCCTCTTCCCATACGGCGAAGTGGGACGAGAGGAAGGCCTGGAGGAAGAGGACGAGTGCGGCCGGGGGCTAAGCCAGGTTTCCTCTGTAACGCTGGCGCGTGGTGATTGGTAGGGTGACTGGTGGGGCGAGAGAGAACGGGTATAGAGGCGCTGCTGCTGCTGGTATCTGAACCAAGAGTCTTCTCCGTATGCACAACTGGGTGAGCCAAAAGGGGACACCATAGGGGAAACCTGTGGGGATGCCTGGGGGGACGTAAGCGGAGAGGGCAGAGGAGAGCCCAGGGGCGACATGAGTGGCGAACCCAAGCGAACGCGGGCCGCTGCTTCATTCAGCTCTGCCTCCACGTCATCGTAAATGTGGGAGAAAGACTCGCATGAGGAGGCATCCGAGAGCCAGCTGCGGGACGACAGGCTGCTGCAGGGGCTCGGGCACAGCGCTGCCGTATCCCTGTAGGATGGGTCCAGAGTCAGGTACAGCTGGTCACGGGATGCCAGAGGCCCAGAAGCTCCCTGCTGCTCCACGTGGTGTACCCCATCCTGGAGGCCACCCATGGTGTCCTGGTGACAGCTGGCTGGGATGGAGGTGATCTGGATGCTGGGGCAATCGAACACACGGCTAGGGGAATCCACAGCGCAATAGCTGGAACTGGGAGCAACATGGCTGGAGGGAAGAGGGCCACCCTGAACCCCTGGAGGCTGCTGGACAACAAGCTCCTCCTGGAGCGCAGAGAGGAGGTAGCAGGGGGCACCATTATCTGCTCTGCCGTCTACAGCAAGATGGAGAAAGAAAGCATGAATAACTGAATAAGTACACTGACACCATGATGAACTCTATCAGACAATCTTAAAGCAACACTCCAGTGTTTTTCAAAACAACCTCTATCTGCCACACATGTAGTATACTGTTGATCACGTCCCTGCACTTAGAAACATACAGAAAACTTGATAACTTAAACATACTTATAAGAGAACCAACAGTTCAACAGCCAACATGACAATCAGCCGTATGCAGGGGCAGACGTTGCCTATTATGCCTGAACACATTATTTCACAGTGTGAAAATAACTAAAAATACAGAGCCTGTGATCTAAGTGGCCACATGCCTTGGAGATTATTTTTGTGTTCTTCTTCCCTTTTTTAGGTTGGACAAGGAACTTGTCGGAATCTGTTAATTGTAACCATCACGACAGCTAATGTAATTGCATGGTGACCATGGTGGTCCCCTCTTCCAGGTTGGTCCACCTGGCATCTCAGTAGCTGATCCATTGGCTATTTTTATATTTATTTATTTTACATTTTTTTTATTTCACTCTATGAAACAGTTTTATATAAAAGAAGGTGCTAAATGTAAATACAATGTTATAAACACATTTCTATTACTGTAGTCACAAACACTCAGTTTTGGCCAGAAGATTCATTAGCTTAGTGGCCCTAGGGGTCAATGCAAATTTTTATATCGGTCTACTCGTGTGCATGCGAGATAAAGATTAGGTTGGCATATTCTTTTGAAGTTAGGTTTAACATTGTAAATATATAAAGATTTACTATCACGCTAGTTTCTCATGGGCACTTGGTAGGTAATAACAAAGTACTAAGAGAGTCTCTTATTAAACCAAATCAGACAACTGAGCAAACGAAATGCTGTCAACAGTGCAACAGCAGCACTATAAATAACCACATACACACACATGACCAAACACAGGATGCAGGGTGAGAAGACAGAAAGTCTTCAGAACAGACTGATAAGCTGTAGAGGAAAGAGTAGTGAGAAACTACACTCAGAACAGAAGAACAGTTACACTAGAGAGAATCTATTTTGGAAACAGAAGTGCCTTAAAGAAATTGTGTGCTGAGCCCAAAATACAACGCTATAATGCATCAATCGAAGGGTGTGAATGAAGTCCTCTTTTGCACTTATACTTTTTATACATACTCTGCACAACCTTTATTAGCCTGTGTGTGACACTGGTGTAATGTATAAAAATAGGCTTTCCAAAGAGGACTGTTTTCACAAATCTCTATGAATTTATTACAGCAGTCGAAACAGGCTGAAGTAAACACTCAACAGACTCTCAGTAACATCTCAAAAACATATGAGGGTTAGGATTAGACTGCATAATGGAAATATAATGTATTAACAATACATATACTTAATGTAAGTAATGTATCAACAGTACATCTTCAAGATATTTACTTCAATGTATTCAGATGCTTCACTACTGCTACTTCACTGATATGTTCTTGATGTGTTACTGACAATCTGTTAAAGTGTTTATTAATCATCTACAAAGGACCTCTCCAAATAAAGTGTTACCTTATTGTAGCAAACTGTGGAACTGGAATTTCTAACACAGCTTGCATCAGCACAGACAGCCTGAATAGGAAGTGCAGCATGACTATGAATTAAAAAAACTGATTCTGTACATCAGTTGTACAGCCGTACAGTACAGGTACAAATGCAAACCGGTATTTTCTTTTAGGGGCTTATATAATGAATATATCACTACTTAAAAAATATTACAACACTTTGATTCAGTTTTAAGTGAGCCCGTAAAAAAAATAAATAAAAAAAAGATTTAATTCACTTTATAATCAAGAAAAAGGATGGCAGTGTTAAAACAGCCTAAAGGCTCATGTGAAAAACACTACAGTAATAGTTCTACCACTTCACTTCAGTAGGTCAGGAACTACTTTCACTGAGCAGACTACTACTGTGGCATTGCTAGTGGTAAAACTTGTTTTGTGGTGACAAAACTAGAGCATTTTGTACTGGCTAAGGGCTACACTGAAGAAACTGAGGCTGATATTGTACATGCATAACCGTAATGACTTCACTGAGGGTCACCGACACCTTAAAGATGTGAAGATACGTATATTTACACAAAAAACAAGTTTTTCACGACGCTCCGAGGAGGGACTTCTTACAGCGGGATTTCTCAGCTAGCCAGAAAACAAAGTCAAGCCTGTCCAGCAGCAGAAGAGCTGAGGGGCGACTTCCACCTGGACGGCTCGGTTCTGTAGTTTGGGCTCAAATTATCCGGCTAAAGGAGAAATCCTGCTTCGTGAAAATCGTCCGAGCAGAGCAGGGCTTCCTCTTTAAGAGCTGTACAGTTGGCAGGCACGAACAAAGGAAGTCACAGAAGTGCAGAGCCAGCAGCGTTTGCAGAAAACTGCTCGGCGTTTGTGTTGAAGTGGGAGCCATTCGAGTAACTTTGAGAGCTCGTTCACTAACCTGTGTGGCCTAGCGACGTCAGTTGAGCGTCCTCCCCAAACATGAGTCTGAAATCCAGCTCCTCGCCGCCGCGGTTCGCGGTGGTCATCGCATGTAGAGGGAGGGACAGAGAGAGGTCAGACTCACTAAACAGCGCTCTCTTTAAAACTCGCAGCGCTCAAAGTCGTCTAAACACACGGCCTTCGCATAGTTCGCTCGATGTCAACTTTCTGAAGAGCAGTTTTGGGCTACAGGGCAGACATGGTGCCAGCGTGCGAACCCGGAACACACTCCTCCTCCACCACCACCACCTCCTCCTCCTCCTCCTCCTCCTCTTCAGCTCCTTCTCTCAGTCAGCTTGCCCGCATCTGCTGGAGTCTTTTCCTTTCACACACTCAGCGCCGCTCCTCCCCGTGAGAACCCGGCGCCGTGTCTTTCACGAGCGCTTTGCTGTCATCCAGCAGTTTGACCAGAACTTCGCCGACACATACAGACTCGCTCGTGAGCGCGCGACTCCAGACGTGACGTCAGCACGCTTGACAGACAGCGCTCGAGAAACACAGACACGCACACACGACCTCTATCAGCAGTATGTGCTGTGTTTACAACTAACTCCCTTTCCTTATCGACAGAGAGATAAAGAGCCGAACGGCAGAGCGAAGGCAGCTCCACTATGATTTCAGACACCATCACTTTTACACAGCAGAGCTTCTACTGAATCACTCATCTGACAAACTCGCTTTTCCCTTTAACATTTCAAAAACAGCTGGTTAAGCTTTCAACGCATCCCAGAGGAAAGAAATATGTTAAGGAAGATTCCCTGTTGATCTCACGTAATTCTCCTAGACATAGTGAAGTTACATTCCAGATTACTGTCAGATTTATGCAGCTTTCTGGATGTAGGCTGCTGAAACAACTCTTGGATTTTCTCACTTGGAGCTAAACATTGTCTCACAGATGACTTCACTCTTTCTTTTTGACTGCTTCATCTCACCCCAGTCTTTGCTGAATAATATACTGACATAAGGAAAGTGGAAGATCTCATCATTTTGTTCTATAGCTCTCTTTTCCATCTCAGCAATCTTTCAGCAGTCTATCAGTGTAGAAGAAAAACTCATGCTTTCCTCACTCATCTCTAGATCCTACTACAATGAAAGGTGCATGTTAATGTCCTCTGAGGAAGAGTTCAGAAATCAGTGATCCTTCATTAGTAGAGTATGGCACTAATGCACTGTATCTGTAGTAAGACGTGTTTTATTTTTCCTAAGACAAAGAAAAGATTTTAAGAAAGACATTTTTCCTTCAGGACTGATAAAATGTTTAATTCAAATAAAATTTGATTAAATACACACAGTACCCCGCTTTAAAAGTGTAGGTAAAGTCAGAATTTCAATGTCTAATATATAGGACCTCCTAATATAACTATTCAAAAAATCCTGTCTGAATGTCCTCTCCGTCATAGTTTGGCAATCATTTTCAGCTTTCATGACACAAACGGCGGCTGAGTGATTAAGAGACAGTTGACTGCCCCCTTTTGGTCTGTGGAACAGTGTCTATATTGTTTAGAACAGTGGATCTCAAACTGGTCCTCAGGCAGTCCACATTTTTGCTGCAACCTAACTCAAAATGCATAATGATGGAGCAAAATTGTGGACTGTCTGGGGGCCCTGAGGACCAGTCTGAAGACCTCTGGTCTAAGGGGCTTGTATTTTTGCTCAACCATAACCATACGATGAAACCTACTGCTTAGAAGACTGTTTCTTAAACCTGGTTGTGAAGTACTTCTTCCCTATACAATTAAGTCTGTTCCCTGCTCTAACACACCTGTTTTAATTTAGCAGTGAGTTAAAAAGCCTTCCTGAGTAAAAGCAGGAAAAACACTAGTGCTAGGGTGTCCAATCTTATTCACGAAGGGCCAGTTTTCATTCCAACAAAGCAGGAGCACTCTGAATTGACTGTATGAAGACAGAGACCAAGTGATTCAACAAGTGGATTCATGTGTGCTTCTGCTTGTTTGGGGACTGGAGTCACATTGGCCATTTGTGGATAAGACTGACCATCCCTGCATCAGTGGTACTCCAGAACAAGAATTAGGAACCACTATCTTAGAATGTACATCCTGCCTCTGACGCAATACTTTAAGAAAGATCTCACTCCTCTTTGAATGAAAACCAACAAGCATGCCCAAAACACACACTCTGTCTCACAAATACATACAATCATACAAAAAGGATTCCCTATTAAAATAAGGAGGAAAGTTTCAGGAATAACATGCAAGTCTTCATCTGACATCTCTGTGTAGAGATGATGTGCTGCATTGTTACAAATGAAATGCAGCCACGGTCCTCATAATGAGCTTATAAGGTTAGCAATTGTTGTCTCGTCATGGTTGTGGTCACAGTACAGTCTGACCACATGAGCCATTTACTACCGTCATCTTGTCATTTGACTCCTGTTCCTCTTTCTGCGATGGCTCAGTGATCCGTCTCTTCCTGTTTGTTGAGTCTGTAATGCCACTGTCCTCTGAAACGCCCTGTTTTCTCTCCTCTCTTTTTCTCTTGTTCACCAATCCTGAATTCTCTTCTCCGATACGGCCCTCAGGTACCCCAAGTGTACGCAGACATACAATGGCAGCAGCTTGCTCAGCAAATTTCTTTGACTTCTCCCTGAAAAGAAAGTAATAGGATAAAATAATTATAATCTACAATTATAATCTTAAAATCCTAGAATAAATGTTTGTCTGTCAAAACTCACCACAAGGTGGACCGATACTTCTTATTTGCTACTGTAACTGTGGACTGAAAAGCTCTGTCTTGGGCACGCTGCTCCTGAAAAGAAAAAAAAAAAAAGAGGAACCAGTTTGAAGAACCGAGATACAAGTTTATATTTTATATGATTTGCAGTAACAAATTAGATTCAATAGCGTTTTAGTACTAATTACAGTTAAAGAAGAAAAACGTAACCACATTAAAATGATTTAGGAAAAAAGACTTAAAAACTGTCTTAAATGAAAAAAAAAAAAAAATCAACTAAACTGTGTTGCAATTTCATGGCATAAATAATCAGTGCTAAGTACATGTGTGATTCATTTATTCATTCGTCTTCTCAATCTAGCACAACCTGTACCAAGATAAAATAATTAATGAGAAGTTCATAAGCTTTTTATTTTTTGTCATTTAATCATAAACATTTCATTAAATAACAGTATTTACCATAGAAATTCACACTTTGTAAATCTGTCCCCTTGCATAATGCTAATTTCCGCCAGCACATCAGTGAAATGTGTTATTCTAGCACCAAGCTAATGCTGATGTTCTCACCATAAGTTTACATTGTGGCAGTTTTGTGAGACATACATGTAAATTTATTTACTTTGCAAACAAATTCATGTTCTTTTGTAGAGTTTGTTTAGAATGGCTTTGGCCCATTTGCTTCATATCCACGCTATTTGTTACTGTAAAAACCTAGAGCAGTCTCTGCTGTTCTACACTGCATGCTTAGTCATAAAATAATCCAGACTAAAAAGATTTTAGGACCAATTTGACATATTTTAAAGGCTACAAAAATGTTTTATTCTGGTATAGTTTCGGTGAAAATATATGCTTCTCAGAATGATCTGCCTGTCATATATGTCCACACATCTTTTAGGACTGTGTGTTAAATAGTAAAAAAAATAAATAACTAAATAAATAAATAAATAACACCAGAGAACTGATCTCACATAACATAAATAACAAGTTTATTTTAAATATTAAAATGTGGCTCCTAAAGTTGATTAAAAAGTTGTATGTGTACTATACACACAACTAGAATCAGTATACAGTACTTTTTAAGTTGTTATTACTTTACTGGAAGCTGGACAGAAGAGAATTTTTAATGCGTAATTCCAGTGGGCAGCTGTAGTGCTCCATTACATTCGCACCAGTCTGGAGTTACACTAAGTAGAGATGAGAAAGAGACAGCATTTGAGACTCACCGTCTCATACACAGGCTGCTCCAACTTCTCCTTCCGACTCCATTCCAGCAAATACATCTTTGGAGTGATCTGAGGGGGATACTCTCTTCTGTGTCATGAACACATAACACAGACACACAAACACTTTCTTTAACACAAATTATGGTTCCTCACACTAACAGTGATGTTATACTTAAAAATACAAGTATTTGGACCAACATAAGTACTGATCCAGACACTTTTATGATGTAGAATTCTAGCGAACCGTTAATAAAAAGAGATTCTGGGACAAACCTTTCAAATTTTACTGCCATAGTGATGACATCACCATCCAACGTAGGCTGATCTGAAAGACTGCTACTGTTAGCCTGAAGGTAACTCTTTCGGGCCTCCAGATCAGCCTGGGCCTTCTTGTAGAAATCAGTCATTCCAAACACTTCACTGAAAAACACATGGACACATAAGAACACGTGAAGACATACTGCAGAAGGTTCACATTTTGAAATAAAATTCTGGATTACAACATAACTAATAAAGCTAAACAGATTAGCTGTCACACCCCAGCCCCACTGGTGGAACCCAGCTGTGCCTTGCTTGCTGAAATGGGCCTCAGTCTGAAAGCTCATTAGGGTACTCACATATTGCCCTCAGCAGGTGAGCAACTGCATACCTCCGACATTGATATCAATAGCAACTACTGTTCTCAGTGAAAACATCTCACTCAGATACCGCCGATATCCACCAGCAGACAACACCAATATGCTACAGCTTCCAACTCAGAGTCTCTGGATGGAATCCAATGTCGGGGGAGGGGTAACGATTTTGAAACAGAGATCAAACCCGCGATACAATCGTCCACAGTCTTGTGTACTACAGTTTTCTGTGGCTTTTTAATGCATTATCTATCACCGGTCCTTAACAAGAGGTGGGGTATTTATGAATACTGCACAACCATGCTGGTATAAACAATTAAAATCTGCCTGCACTAAAGTCTGTAACAAATTTTCATTAATTTCACATCACATGAAGAAGTTTACTTTGTTTAGGAAGAAGTTACATTCTGTGTCATGACAGCATATTTCTTGTGCAAAATAATGATTGACACACCTCTCAGCCATTCACATCTCACTCATCTTTAAGCGTTATTTAGTGCAAAAGGAAAAACTGGCCAACAATGTGTTAAGAACAATGGTGGCCAAAAAATTAGTCCTAACTATTAGTCTTATTAGGTTACTAAGGGACATTTCATTCCTAAACACACTATTCTGACCATCTGGAGGAATGTTTTGTTTTATTCCTGAAGCTGAAACAGTTGGAAAGAAGAATTAATCTATGTGGAAGACCACACTCACACACATATGTTCAATGTCAAAAATATTAACAGGCAGGAATATACTGGCTTTAAGGCAAGCTAAAGTTTTCTGTGTTACTGTATTTGAAAACCCCGATTTTAACATGGTGTCTAACAATAAATGCTGTTACAGAACAATGTTAAGATCAGTTACTATCAGCTCTATTGTTAGCTTTTTAGCTCAAACTTCCTCCTTATCAGCCATGAAAACCAACAGCTTTAACACCTAGTCGGTAAAAGAGTCCCTGGTTGATAAAAAGGTGCAGATCTGGGATTCTTTGGCATAGAGTAATATGGTAAACTGAGAATGTCTGTCACCCTGCTGCTTTCACACATTCACTCAAGTTTGCTTGAGTGGGGGAGCAGATTGCCACCGACATCTCAGGGTCTTTGTTACCTTCTGGCTCTCCCTTTTAATTAGGCTGTATTAGTTTTAGGCCAGCCAGAGTCACTGCTTGCACTCTATATACTGTTTTTAAACACTCCTAACAGAACTAACTCTGTTTTTTTTTTCTCCCTGAGCTGAACAACTGCCCATCCTGAGTAGGCTGATGCTGTTGCTTTATCTGCCTTGATCGGATGCCCCTGCTTGCCTGCCTTCTGGACCAGTTTAACCACCATGGAGCTTCCTGTTGTTCAGTGCTGTGCAGAAAGACATAGACATCATATCACCTGCCTTACAATACGTTGAGTTCTTCTCATACCCACACAACCAAATTATCATTACAGGCTTCTAACAATAGTCATTTACATTCATGGTTTCTGTAATACGCTCGTAACAGTAGTCACTGGATTTCATGGCTAACAGTGACTGTTTCTCATAGATCTATTTCTTATTGACTGATTCTCACAGATGTATTTCTCACTGTTACTCTAATAGCAGCCCCCCCCAAGCTGGGACTTGTCAAATTTCAAATGGTCAGTGTTAACAAAAGCATGTTGCAATTTGATATGAATCATTTCTCACTCAAAGCTCACTGGAATAAGCAGAGACAGAATAAACTGTCAACCGACACCGTATTTGTGTTCTTGAGCAGTACAGGTGATGTTTTACAATAATTTGAATTTTATGAAGAGTTTTGTTGGAAATGCAGGCACAAAGCTGTTGATACAGAATCTACATCAAATGTAATTGGAAATTTCATATGTAATGAACTATGTAATGAATAGTATAGTAATTGGCTATAGCAGTTTCCACCATAAGCCTTCTAAATCTCTCAGTAGATGCTTTACCAAATTTCTGCACTGGTCTGTGCAGCATGGAGCTGTTTGCCCATCGGGGATTCCACCCTGTCCTTTAGCATCTGGCACAGGCAGTATTTTGTGTTGAAAGTGTTGTTGTCATAGCGAACAGCCTGCAGACAGACAGAGACAAAACTGACTATTGTAAAAGCTCTTAAATATTTTGAATTTGAGGCATGAGTAGATACAGAGGCCACATCATGGAGAGAGAAAACAAAGAAGTTATTAAGCAAGCTCCTGAAAGGCCCACCACTTACATATTTAATGTACTCCTCCATAGCCTCGTCCACTGACACCGCCCCCTGGCTGCGGAATATTGAAGGGTTCCACATTGCAGCTCGAGCCAGCATGACAGAGGATGCTCCTGTTGCCTCTCGGAACTTCTCAATGTCATCATATGTTTTAACATGATCTACAGAGCCACCACTAGCAGAATGGAAGAGAGCAGAAGCAAAGAAATACAAAAAGAGGAGAGTTACATGGAGATGCACGTACAGACTGCAGGTAACAAAGCATTTTTCACTCATAATGTTGACAGGAGCATAAATATCCAGAACAGAGCAAACCTGTTTACAATTCTGAAACACTTCTGCATGCAGAGTGGAAAATGCAACTTCCAATGTTGATCTAAACCAGAACTAAACTAATATAAAATGTAAACAGTAGCAGGAAAGCATTTAAAAAAAAAAAAAACAGGCCCTCAGTTAAACTGATAACCCAGAACTCAAGCATGATCAATAGAAAATCTGTAAGGCGAGGACTATTGTATAGTCCTCACCTCTGATGAGCTTTTCTAGTTTGCTGAGAAATCCAGCTTTGTAAACTACACCCCCAAGTTGGTACTAAAAGGCCAATACTCACTTAGCTATCACTGGGATGGACACACTTTCAGCTACAGCTTGGATGTAGTCACAGTGGACCGGGTGTCGTGGTCTCTCTTCCTTCATCCTGAGAAGCAGAAATACAATGACTGATCAGCGATCAAAACACCTTACATGCCTTATGTATGCTTTATGCATACTTACTACCAGGGTTGGCTAGTATGAGTGGGGCCAAGCTCTCCCACTCTTTCAGAGAAAAAAGGCAATAAAATAAGGTTTCATTTTTAGCATCCACATTGTTTTACTTGCTGTCAACAAACAACCAGAAGCTGATTATTTGGAACTTCTGTGGGTCTAAGATCAATAGCACCACCATAAGGCCATAAGAAAAACATGAACTGGCTAAGATGGGGCTGATTTACTAGCCCAAACTGTAGATTAAAGCAACAGAGCCTATCTGTGATTTAATGCCAAATGCATTGTGACATATTACACGCCCTCTAAATTCATAACCCATTTTGTTACTTAACAAAACTAAGCTTGCAAAGTCTAGCTAAGCCTTTCTGCCGTCAGTACTAGTTGGAGCAGAAGGATCAGATACTAAAATCTGATTGGCTGAGACATGCTCAAAGCCCCAGTAAAATACTGCATATGCACACATAAACATTTTGTTCACACCAAGTCAGATGCAGTCAAATTATGAGCATGCCATGACACGTCAGTGGTTAATGCAGAAGCATGGTAATATGATTCCTAAGAAGCTTGTGTTTGTCCACTACTACAATAATATTTATTGCTAACCACTACCCTTATGAAATTTGCAGTATTATGTTAGCTCCTAGCCAAGAGTAGTGCTACAGCAGCTGTGCACAAACATTTGAAGCTTATAAAGGCAGGTAACAGACATTCAAGTAAGATATTTTTTACTTTGTATAATGCTGTTTATATAAATAATTCAGTAATGATTTTAACTTAAATATCATGTGACATTCATGTTGTAGTTGATAAAAAGTGTGACCAGGACCTAATTAGACACCTCATGTCACTGTTTCATTGCTGTAACTGGGAAGGAGCTCTCAAATGTGATGATACAGTGATAGTTTAGTGTTAGTGTTTGTTTTTCTCCCATTCTCCCCAGTATTATAACAAAGCATACATGTTTAAAAAAAACAAACAAACAAACAAAAAACAAAAAAAAAACTCAAATGGACAGTTTACCTGCCATGGACAGCTATGGCTGACACCCCTGTTTTCTCAATTCTCTTCACCAAATTCACTGTTTCTTCTAGCTGAAAAAGGAGATAAATGTTTATTAGTACAGAGAAATGTACTCAGTACAAATGTAAAATGTCAGCATAAGATTGTCTTTTCAGTATGTACAGTATATGTTACACAGTACTTTAATTCTGAGATATCTGATTCATGCAACCTATGAATACTCACAGTGGAAAGGATTCGGATCTTACAGGTCACTGGTTTTGAAATTCCTCTCACAAGAGTGGTCAGAATCTGCACAGAACAACAGAGTCGAAAAATGGAACCGTGAGCACCTCAGTTACCTTATGATTCTCAGCAGTTATCACTGCTGTAGAGCAAATAAAGCTCAGTGCATGGTGAACCAATGTACCACTAGAGTCAGACATTATTTACTTACAGCTTCAATTTTGTCAGGATCAGAAAGAAGCGCAGATCCCATTCCACCCTGTAGGTGAGACAAACACATCTTACACTGATCCATAATAATAATAATAATAATAATAATAATAATATGCTTTCTGGGTGAAAATCTGCATAGATTATATTCCACACATAAGAAACAGTGATAGTAAAATGCTCTGAGATCTAAGATCTACTAGCTTAGTGACATGTAGTTCTCACCTTAGTGGAGTATTCCTTTGGACAGCCCATATTGACATCAATAGCTGCCACATCATTCTCCCTGTTCAGGAATATGACATTAATGGGCTTATTCGCTAGACTTTTAGGATGTAAGAAAATATGTGACGCACAATACTATTCCTTTCCAAAGAAAATACTATCCTCAATTGCCATACAGCAATTAAAAAGCAACCCTACATTGGTCTTACTACAACTCACACAAGCTGGGCCACTGCCAGGGCTCTCTTTGGATCTGCAGTTCCCTAATGGCAAAAATCAAAATGAAAATGTGTCTTAAAAATAATGAACCATAAAAAAGGAGCATTTTGACAAATGCAAAAGTAGCAAATATTTAATTCCATGTAAAAGAAAAGAGTAGAAAACAGAAGTCATTTTCTGTTCTAACACTTACCATCTGAAAGACCACCCGGTCCTTTTCTTTACTACAGGTCCGGAACATCACCCTCTCATCTGGAGCTATGAAGTCCACTGTCTCCAAACCATCTAGCAAAAGACACAGCCCCTCTTATACGATGTACACTGGTGCACATTTCTAAGCTCACCTCGAACTGTGATTTTATACACAAAATGTAGAAAAAGTACCATTTTATAATATATTCACAGACTGAATATGCTGTTCACATGTAATGAATGAAGTAGCTTATAATTGGCTGTGTGCCAGTGTATATGAACATCTGCCAAAGTGTATTTCAACTGTTAAAAAAATGTTGAGCTTTTTTATTAATCAGTTTTTTTGTTTTTTTATTTTTACACAATTTTCTCCACAATTTAGTCATGTCCAATTCAACCCGCTAGTTAGGACTCCCCCAATCACACGATACTACCAACGCTAGGATACTACCAACCGCCAGATCTGTTACGTCAGCTAACAGACGCCTGTGCTGATTAGCATCGCGTTGAGTGATGGGGGGAGAAGGAGGGGCCATCCTACCCACCCAGAGAGAGCGAGGCCAATTGTGCTCTCTTGGACTCCTGTCTACGGATGGCTGTAGCATCACCAGGGATCGAACTCGCGATCTCAGGTCTGGAGAGAGACTGAGCAGCACTTGCACAAAGTTGGCTAACTACTACGCAAAAACTAGTGAAGTTGTCCCAGCTGAATTGGCTTTCTCTTAGTTCGAAAGAATGCCTAGTTGCAGTTACATTTGTGATTGATCTGATATTTATTTAACAGGTGAGTACTGAGAAATATTTTAACAAGGAGCCACATGAGGAAGAGGAGAGACTTGTATCTTGCGTTTGCTGATGTGTACAAATTCACAGAAAGGTTCTCTGTGGTAATAAAACTAGCTTAAACTTACTGAAACACAGAGAGGTAATGTTGGACATTTCACTGGCCAATTTTAGAGTAAAAGACATTACATGAGTTTACCTCATGTTGTTTTTGATATGTGTTTAACCCCTTTTGTCAGTGATTATGGTTTCTTCTGTCAGTCATAAAACACTACAGTTCACTGTTATTGTCCTGCCAGAGTGTATATAAAACAGCTAGTAGGTTGTAGTGTGACCTCTTTGCAGGGTAAAAAGACTCACAAACCGATCTAAAGTGTAATCTTTTACAACAATAACAGATGCCACATTAAAACAGACCATTCATTTTTACATATATTTATGTGACAGCAAATAGGTTCACAGGGGAAAAATACTCATGCTCAAATAAAACAAAGACATAAATTAAGCCTGTAAATAAGTCTTTGTGTTATTAATAAATTAATGTAACTGACATATCAAGTCTTGTAAATAAAAATTGTGTATTTGTGATAATTTCGTAATTTCGTTAATTATTTATGCTTTAGAGTCTGTGTCTTTCCCCACTTTCACCCTCAGCACCAAAGTTTATTTTAAATTTGTAGGAAACACTATGAAGACAGAAAGAAGACAGACTTACCATTAACTACCCTTTCGCACTGAATCATTTTTAGATCAATCAGTTCCTTCAAGAAAACAAGACAAATCCTGTCACAACAAATACTACAAAATCAAGTGGCACTCACATCATAGTATTGTCTGTACTTCTAGTTCTAAACACTGTGTATGCAGGGAACTATATGTAGTATGTGAAGTATCTACACAGGCTACTTCTTGAGACACACAGACATCAGTGTGTTAACCAAACAGGGTTTGAGGTTATAGTACACTTCGACAGCATGAGTTCTCACCTCACAGTAGACAATATCAGCACCATAGTCTAATGCCAAAAGCCTCATGGGTAACGTGCCTACCCGTACCATAGGTGCTAGAATAAGCTTATTGCTGAAACTCAGCTTGCCCACAGTGTTAGCCATAATGTTGCTTTCCTCAACCCCTAAGGACAAAAAGAGATCATGCTCAGTGCATTACAGTAATTATCACCAGCCTAAATACTTTCTGTCACTATTCCAGCTGCAGCTCTGGTTTGCACCAAAACACTTAAGGTAGCTCATTACCATTAGCAATACAATGGTCTCCATACCAGTTTGCATTATACAGAATCGTTTTAAATCTCTCAAATTTCACAAATTATTAAAAAATCTGCATAATGCAGACACTGAGATGTAAACAAAGTCATTCAGAGTGGTTTGACATGAAACAGTTTTAGAAAAACTTACCAACTCAGATTTCTTTAGTGTGGTGGTGATAGGAACCAGGGGCCTCAGAGGACCAAGGGTTAATGTTTGTCTACAATACAAAAACACATTTTACTTACTATCCAAAACAACTACTGAACTTACACGTGTCATCATATGTCAAGTTTTTATATGCACTGCGGACAATGGTGAAATAGCAGCAAATTTGAAAAAAAAAATTTGAAAATACCCTGCACGCAGCTCTCTCTCTCTCTCTCTCTCTCTCTCTCTCTCTCTCGCAGGAAGGCCAAAACCTTATCTCAAAACTATTATAAAGTAATGTCTCAGGCAGCATTTCAAGTAATAGCTTACTGTGAGGGAGCTTTTAGAGGATTCAGTTATTCAGTCGCCCGGCTCGCATCACCATCTCTGTGATCAAAGAATTCCAGCTCTTCACTTTTATCTAGGATGTCATTTCACATCAAACCACTCAGAATGACTGTATTTACATCTTCATCACTGAATTACATAGAAATGTTGAAATACTGGTTAAATTGTCCTTTAATTCAGTACCTGATGGCACATAATTTGATACTTCCATGTAATCTACAATGTTTGTAAAGCGTGTGGAATCAGAGAAAAACTGTGCTGATTATTTAAGGGGTTCTCGTGTTTTGTGTTCTTCTTCTTCTCCCAGACTTTGCTGTCACAAAACTGACAACAATAATAATCTCTCGTTTTCACTATAGTGCACATAATAATCAGGGCTAAGGTGTCTGTTGTTAAAAAAGAGCAGACTAAACATTATAATCAGTCTAAATACACCGGGGTATAACATACTGTGCATTTTGGTACGTGTACTCTCTCTAATACGCACCTAAATTAAACAGTCAGTGAGCTCTGTGTATGAGAGAGAGAGAGAGAGAGAGAGAGAGAGAGAGAGAGAGAGAGAGAGAGAGAGAGAGAGCTAATTGCCATTTTAGCAACATTAATAAAGGCAATATGTACCCTACATTAATTCAGACAGACTGACACATTACAACAGCCCCACCGTCAGTGATGTGACGTTAATAGAAAGACTGACATTACAAGAAAACAGAAGAGTACCTGAATAAACTCACCGGCATCAGAACTGAACCATCACAGCTACTGACTGCACTGCAAACACGTGGTCAGCCCTGGGTTCCTGATTTACGTCATCAACAAGCGACGGCGATGTTTTTGGCTAACTCTCAAACTGCTCTTTCTGCCTCCATAGTGCAAACTACGCACTACGAATAGTGCACTGCATGTACTTTACGAGCCGTTTGGGATCGAACCTTGAGTGTGTGTGAAGATTTCTCAATTAGTCCGCTGCGCGTTCGTTAACAAACGAAATTAATTTCAGAGATCAACAATCAACACGGAGGTCTTTAAAGAAGAAATCTGTCTGGATTAAACCGATGTTAATCATGGAGGCTGACAAATATCTCAAAATAAATTCACTAAATATTATATCAGTATAATATAGACAAGGAATTCCCCCGTTAGCTGTTCATATAGCCTGATATTGTGTTTATGTGATGTACTCAACCGCAAACTGATGACATAACTGTACATCCCAACATCCACTGCACATCGTTTATATTAGCCAAAAGTCATTTGTATCAATAGTGAGTGGGAGATTCAAACCACAAATCTGTACGTGCAAAGAACAGCAGTGAAAATGATGCGATCCTTATTTTATTTAAAGAGAGGCAGGAAAAGGACGGAGAGAGAACAGCAGTCACTCTTGGGAATTCCACATGAATAATAGTCTTGTTAGATGTTTCCAGTTAGGCAAACAGATGTTTTTTTCAGTTCAAGGCTGGAAACGACAATTGTACTTGACAATTCCTTAATATGTAGGAAGTGTGTAGTTTGTGGTCAGTAATATCAGTTCATCTGCTCTGATCTCCCTGCTGAAAAAAGACCACTGGGATTAAAACCTGATGCATTTCCTTTCTAATGGGAATTGGCTTAATGGTTACCATTACAGACCACTAGTGCCCTGTATGACACTTCTAGATCCCATTAGGAAACCATCAAATGTATCTGTTACACCATTACTATCCTTTACACTGTGATATCACCCATCAGGAAAATGCAAAATACCATTAGTGACTACTGGACAACAACAGGAACAAACAGAAACTTCTAATAAAGTAAAAGATAAAAGTTTCTATATATTTTTTTCAGCAGGGCTATAATCTGCATAAAATGCATGACATGGAAAGGAGAGAGGCATCTTTGCCTTAATTGGAAGGAAGTAGTGGCTTCGCGCATATTATTTTGAGCTTGTTTTGACCTGTTGGACATGTTGCTACCCAGTGCAAGCATAACTTTGCTTGTTTGCAAAAAGTTATTTCATAGCCACTTGGTTCTACCTAATGGAAATTGTTTGCCTTCAGTGTTTTGTGCTTATGATAATTTTAATAGACATCAGTGTCAGACTAATTAATGACATTCTATTAAAAGATTGGTTTACCAAGAGTGACACTGGAGTATGTTCACTTAAAATGAGTTAATGAAGCAAAAATGTTACAAAAATGGTAATAGGACATTAGAGTCATAATTAATCTTTTGGTACTTTTACTTTCAATACTTAAGTACATTTGAAGGGAAATATCTTTGTACTTTTACTCAAGTGGAGGTCTGAAGGGAGGACTTCTACTTTTACTGAGTAATATTTTACCTTGGGTATCTCTACTTTAACTCAAGTACATGATTTATGCACTTTGTCCACCACTGCATTTTTCCATTCACTCCCATAGGACCTTAATCTTGATGATTTATGTGAGTAAACTCAATTCATTAGATACAGTACAGTTCAGTTATCAGTTGAGACACAGATCCTAGCAAACCACATGTTCTGACATGCTTGATGACTTAGTCTCAGGTGAAGTTTTGACCATAAAGGCTTCTACCAACAGAGACTTAGCAACAAAGTGAGGCAGAGCCATAACTTTACTGACACCACAGAACATTGGCTAGTTCAGGAACACAGACAGACCAGCACTGTGTTCGGACGTTCATGTTTAAAGACATACATAACCAGCGTGTGGAGATGCTGAACACAGGTATTTTTCTGCATCAGATTATCTTCCTGGGCATGTGGCTGACTTCTGGTAAGACTCTGTTGTGCATGTACATATTAATATATGCATTAAAAAAATAACTCTCAATTTAGAAAGTCTTAAATTGAAAAAAGAAGTTTATGTCCTAATGATATCCCACCAAATAAGACACCTAGGAATATAACATAGAGTTGTATGCAAATGTTTTGGCACCCCTGGTCAAATGTTATATATTTTGTTGATTTTTGAAGTGAAAAGAAATAAACACAACCACTGCAGCAAACTACTAAAAAAACTACTTTTTTATACTTCATATTTGATCAACTTTAAAAACAGAAAAAAAGAGTAATTGTGTCATGTGCAAAAGTTTAGACACACTACAAAGTTAGAACTTAGTAACAGCCCCTCTTTGGCAGATATCACAGCTTCCAAAAGCTATAAGTCTTTATATTCTCATTATATTAATTTTCACCCACTTGAAAATGCTTCTAGTTCTCAGACATTCTTGTGCCATCTAGCATTTACAGCATGTTTAAGATCTACAGATTTTCATAATGTCAGGGGACTGTGAAGGTGATTTCAAAAGCTGTTTGCATTTCTTGAAGTAGTTTGTGTTGGATTTTGACAGATGTTTTGGATCATTGTCCTTCTGTAGAAGTCAGCGTCTTTTCAGCTTTGGTTTCCTGACTCACTGTCACATTTGCTTCCAGAATTTGCTGATATTTAGCATAATCCATTCTTCCATCTACCCGTGCAATGTTTTCTGTGTCACTGGCAGCCACACATCCCCAAAGCTTATAGCCACCCTCATGCCAGTTTATAAGTTATTTGACAGTGTTCTTTTCATCAAATGGGGCTCCTTTTTGTTTCCAAACATACCTTCGGAAAATGTGGCCAAAGAGTCCTATTTTTACTTCATCAGTCCACAGTCCATACTATGTTTTGCACAGTTCATTGAGTTTTGTGATGAGGTCACGGTTGAGGTTTCCTTCTAATGACTCCATCATATTAATGCGAGCAACACTGCATAGTACCCTGAAAAAAGTGCTTTGAATTTACGTGATTCAAATGTGTCAGTAGGTTGATTTTATTCATGTGCAGCTTAGAATTTTGTACAATCAAAGCACAATTTTGTCAGTATAGAACAGAGCACCATCACTCAGAGTGTCAGAGTTTTCTTGGTGTTCCAGATCTTGCCTTGACTTCCACAGTTCCCCTTAACTGCCATTTTTAATGACATTTCAGAGAGTGGAGTTCCAAGCTGTAAGTGCTCTGATTTTTTTACAGCCTGCTTTTGCTTTGCAGTCATCAATTAACTTCATTTTCAGATCCTCTGCCAGATGCTTAGAGATGCCCACATGTTGTTTGTTAGCACACAACTTCAAGTCAGAGAACTTGTTGCACTCAGAAATTGTCATCAGCTTTCCTAATGACAATTCTTGTCCTGCCTAACTAGTGATAATGAGGTAATTAAGGCCTGATGAGTTAACAAAGTTCATCAAAAATAAAGTAACTGACCATTAAGATTTATGTTATTTTTAAAATTAATTTGCTGCATATGTTGTGTTCAGTTCTGTCTACTTCAAACATCACCGAAACATGTAATTTGGCCAGGAGTGTCCAAACGTTTGCATCCAACTGTATATAAAGATTTCTTAACTTTTTAAGAAATTAAGATGATTTTTCATGACTTTAAGAAATATATTTTCTAAAATTAGTAAATGTTATTTTTGATCATTGTTTAAGTCATGAATTGCACAATCAGCTTGTTGGTTTCAGGCCTGATCTTTGGTTTGACGCTGGAAGGACTGCCTGCTGCAGTGAGACTGAAAGAGAACAGCCCAGCTGGAACAGAAGTCTTCTGCTTTGAAATCGATCTCTCCACAGGAGCGAACATAGCCTCCGGGTTCCCTCTGATACTCAACTCTAATCCCCTTACTCTTGATTTCATGGTGTCCATGGTGAATTCAACACATGCCAAGGTGCTTTTAATACATTATAGAAATTAGAGCTCAATTTTAATATATATATATATATATATGTGTGTGTGTGTGTGTGTGTGTGTACGTTATATATGTATATATATATATATATACGTGTGTGTGTGTGTGTGTATATATATATATATATATATATATACATGCACACACACACACACACACACACATATATATATATATATATATATATATATATATATATATATATACATATATATATATATATATACATATATGTGTGTGTGTGTGTGTTTAGAATTATTTGGGAGAACATTTTGAGTTGAGCAGAAAACTGAGCCTAAAGTAAGCTCATAGATAAACAGAATTGATTGTTTACACTCAAATGAAACACTGTAACTTTGGATTCTGTATCTTCTAGGTAACTGTGGCAGGTTCCCCAAACCTGGACTTTGAAAGTCCATCTAATCACTTTGTTCTCCAACTTCTTGTGGTGGACAGTAGTAAGGACTTTGATCTGCAGACCTTGACCATTATTCTGACAGATGTAGATGAGCCCCCAGTTTTCTTGGATGAAAGTATGGACCTTTTTTTTCACTTGTGTTCATCGGTGTGTGTGTTAATTTAGCATTAAATAAACGTCACTGTGGTTTATTGCTATAATAGAAAACCTCTCATTCTCAGTCTCAATGCTGTACATAGTGGAGAAGTCCCCTCCAGGCCAGATCTATCAGCCAATTGTCTCCGACCCTGAAAACAAGCTCCTAACTGTATGTAAATATAAACTTTAGCTTTGTGTAAATTCACATATATTTGACATTGTAAATCAATGTCCATGTAAAGAATTTTTCCCTTTATCTAGCCCATATCTCTCTTTGTTGCTGACCATGTTCTGCACAATGTTTCTTAATAATGGATCACAAATACACACAACTGCATTTCTATTGCAGCAAACATTGGTTTGCAAAGGTATCTTTTGCTGGGTTCCATGTATGTAGCTGTAATTTTACATGTGATTTCCCACAGTTCACTTTGACCCCTCTGAACACAGCATTCAGCATTGACCACAGTAAAGGCTCTGTTTTTACTATGAAAGAGTTTGATTACCTAACCGATCCCAGGAGGTAAGCACACTGCAGAATC